ACCACGAAAAAATATGATGTGTCACAAAAGATATTTCATAAAAGTCATGAAAAATTGTCGCTAATATATTTTGATAATTTTAAAACACTAACATCGGTATCAAAACTCTTTCTTCTAGAAATATCTAGTATGTACATGTACATAGCTTCATGTAAAAGAAAAATTATTCATATGTAGAATATATAAATACAATGCTGTAGAAATAATACATTTCTAACAGATACCTATTATAGATCAATGTGGTCCATTTAATTCGCTTTGAAAAAACGCAATGAATTTTATTGGGTACTAAAATTTCTAGTCCACTGCGACCATTTTATCAGATAGCAATTTAACGGCTTTCAGTATGTCTGTTTTACTGTTCAGATTTACTACGAGTTTCCACATTTTGGCAATTAAGCTATAAATCACCGAATTTGCCTCATTATCTGTATTTTAAAGTATGCACTAAGCATTTTGTTACGAAAAAAATACCAGCGGCATTGATAGCCGCTGCAGGCAACCAAAACTATGTTACTCGTAGAGGTGGGCAAAATACGTGCTATATCTTAATTAAAATACACACACACTTCAGCGTAACACTAATAAATCCCCAAAATAATAGAGTCATTTTTCAAAGGCTTGTCCGGTTATTTTGGTACTTGGTGTAAGGGGCTTGTGTCCGCAACTCGACGTCCATGCGCTTATTTTGCGTGTAACCAGTTATTTTACTTTTATATATAGGAAATATACCACACGTCGTCGACGTCGAGTTGCAAACACCAGCCCGTTACACCAAGTACCAAGACATAGGACATATTCTATTAAATATTCTGGGGTAGGGGTAGCCTATCACAAAGTTGATTTTTTTTTGCGAAATCACGTTTGTTCGAATTTTCATTACACCGAATTATAACGAAACCGTTGTTCTTTCAGGACATGTTGGATGTTTATCGCAAAGACACGATTAGGTTCGGTTAGGTTAGGTTAAGTTAGGTTTAAAAGAAAAAACATTTTCCTCTCAAGAGGTTATGAAAATTCGAACAAACGTTATTTCTAGAAAACGTAATTTCGGACTACTGATAGTTAAACCTGGGGTAACTATTTTTCCCAATCTAAATCATTGAACTATCTAAATCGCGTATCGTGTCGGCTAAATTAGTAAACCTCATACCTCCATTACTGTCAACCTTTGAGTAGGCACGAAAAACAGTCACCCTGAGACATAAATTTACAGGTCCCAAGTGCCTGTAATTTCACCAGCGCCCTTACTTCTCCCCCTCAGAACTTGAACTAAGGTTGGCACTTCCCTGGACGAACTCATTCACAAAGACCTCTACGGCTACTAAAGCTTTTTATTGAGGCATATCTATGCTTCAATAATATATTATACATATCACTATTCACACTCTTAATCAATCACATACCAAAGTCATTGTCTCCTACACGAAAGATAAATTACGCTATATACCAGTGGAGATTGAGTTTCTCTAGCAAAATGTTTGTTTTTATTGTGCTTTTTATCGCGTCGATGGAGTATATTTTTATTTGCAGCTCAAGATTTACCACTCCTCATCTCAATCCGTTGTTTTAACACTCCTTTGTTTACGACTTGGAGCATGGTATCTTTTTACTTAGAAATTACTGCTTTCATGCTTTTCCATTATCGAACGATTTAAAAAACACTTAGTGCTACCGCCGTCTTATCGTTAGGAAAATGGTTATTTAAGTGTCTATGGCTTATTTTCCGCCGCACTGCTACCGACTTAGAGAGACATTAAATACACTACCATAGGCTCGTTCTAAAAGTCACTTTTACATTTAGGAATTGAAACTGTTTTATTCGTATTTCATTCGCGTATATTTGTTTTTTCAAACAAACCAACGTTTTGGGCCCTTCACAGGTCCCATGATCACGGCTGACTGAGATGTTGAAGTCATCAATCAATTATGCGTAATATTAATGCAAACCGCCTTATAGAAATTGCAACAGTTATTAATTCAAATACTTTATTCGTAATTTACCGAAGAACATACCAATTTACGCTACGTACATTTTACAAAACATTTTGTTTTATTTTAACAATATATATTTTTACTAATTTAATTAATTATAGTGAAATTAGAAATTAAGTAAAATGTATTAATTATAATTGTATGTAACAATCGCGAAAACGTAAGAAATCAATGTCACTTTTCTTTTGTTGCAATATTTATTGAATATTATTTTGATTTACTACTATGATATTTATATATTTTTTGTGAAAATACTCCATTAGTTTATTGTTATTATTAATTAAAATATCGAACAAACACAAACAAATGCTAGTCTCGAACTGGCGACTTTTTCACCATAAAAGTAAAGGTACCTGAGGCTGAGTGAAGAAAAACTTTCATAGATTTCTCACAGATGGCGCTACGAAACCCTTAGAAACCAAAAACAAAGATCTGCAACAAGCACAGAAGATATTGTAAGGTCTGCTGGTTTGTTGGTTTGTTCCGTAGCTCAGCTGGAAGAGCGTCGGGCACGGTATGCGCTGGTTCGAAGGAGTTTCCATAGTATTCGATCTTTGTATTAATAATTATAACAAACTAATGGAGTAAATTCACAGAGAATATTTTATTAACACGATTGTAAAACGTGATGACATTCAATAAACTTAATAAAGGAGTAGATTTTGACAGTTCATAGCGGCCAACATGGCCAAGCCGTAAAATCAGAGCAATAGAACACCCATTTTTAACCGACTTCAAAAAAGGAGGAGGTTCTCAATTCGACTGTATGTTTTTTCTGTATGTACGTTACGCAATAACTCCGGTATTTGTGAACCGATTTTCATGATTCTTTTTTTTTGTTGGAAATAGGGTACCTCCATAGTGGTCCCTTTTCATTTTGAAGAAAATCATCTACCTCTAAGGGTAACTGATCACGCATGAACATTCATTTTTATGAATAGCGTCTAAATTTTACTTAAAGAGCAATTATTTTAATGGTTGGTTTTGCTATTCTCCAATTCAAGGCATTTTTCTCTCTCAATATACTTTGAGTAGTGACAACTGATTTTTATTATTTCCTGTGTCAAGTCCTGTATAGTGGCGAACTAAATATTTCAATAAAACTTGGCAAATAGATGTAATTCCACGTACTTTTGAGGTCGGGTTTTTTGGCCTCTGTACTGAGATTATGATAATATTTTTTTATCATTTCCACGTGTTGTTCGGCGCTTGCCATGATGATTTGTTAATTAGTAATTGAAAAATAAACAACAGAAATGACAAAAGCAGCTTCAACTACATGGCGGCTATGAAATGGCTTCATGGAAAACCCGTTATTAGAAAAATTATATTTATATATATTTTTTAATGTAAAATAGATGGACACATAGCAACAATCTCACTTGATGTTAAACGACAATGCTACGTTTGTAAAATAAATGCTTATTCTTACTAGTCTTGAATAGCTCTAAACATGTATTTACATCTCGCTTCCCCTATTGTGTAGCCACATAAGCTTCATATCGTTACATTGTACGTTATACGTGTATCATTAAGTTGGTAAAGGAGTAGTTATTAAAAATGTATTAAAAAAATAACAAAATTATTAAAAATGGTGGAACGGTTTTGTGTTTATATAATTAGCTTTTGTAACTAGCTTACTCTAACACTTACCGTAAAAGAATAAAAGAAATAACTTGGACTAGTTTTGTTATTTATTACTTATTATTATTAAAGACATAATTGTTTATATAGTTGTATTGTTTTATTTAAGATCACATTGGACAGTTTTAGTATTATTGTAATTTTATTCTTGTTTTTGTTTTTTTTATATTGACGGGTTTTAGTCGTTTTGTAATTTCCCTTTGATATGTTAAGTAGTATAGCTTCCTTTCAGGCTGCAGCTGAAAACCAGTATTGAGGCCCTGCTCAGTAAAAAGATGAGCTGGCTATTAAGTTAACTTAAGTTATATAATTAAGTTATTAAGTTTACTTTTATTTATTTTTCCTTTTGTTTTTTTTTATTTCTTTCAATTATTATGATATTAAATTTTTATTGAATTTCAGAATGTTTCACCACTATCATACTCAATTATTTTTTTGTGAAATTGCTCCACTAGTTTGTTATAATTATTAATACAAACATCGAACGCTTAGAAAAAATTCCTTCGATCCGGCCGGATTCAAACCGATGTGTCCTAGAAAACCGTGGCAGACGCTATACCAATTAAGCTACGGAACGAACCAGCGTGCCTCACGAATTTTTCTATGTACTTTTTGTCGGATCTTTGCATTTCGACGACTTTTTAGCTGTAGCGCCATCTATTAGTCGTTGTCATTGTATGTTTAAGTATAACCCAATAAATGCTTCTTTTTTCTTTGCACAGTTTTTGACTAATTTTTAACCGACTTCAAAAAAAATGAGGAGGTTCTCAATTCGACTGTATGTTTTTTTTTATATGTATGTGACGCGATAACTTGTGAACCGATTTTGATGATTCTTTTTTTGTTGGAAAGAGGATACCTCCATAGTGACCCCATTTAATGTTGAAGAAAACCATCCACCTCTAAGGGTCCTCAAATAGCACCTAATTTTTATAAGGAACAATTATTTTAAAGGTTGATTTTGCCATGCTTTAATTAAAAGCGTTTTTATCTCAATATACTTTAAGCAGTGAGCTCCGATTTTTATTACATACTGTGTTAAGTCTCTTATAGTGGCGAATCCCCTAGGGATGAATCTAGTATTGCGCACTTTCCGGTAACCGATTTTAATAAAACTTGGCAAATATACATCTATTCCACGAACTTTTGAGGTCGGTTTTGTTAGTACTCTTTACTGAGATTATGTCCAAACGTTATCGTCAATACTAGGTTATACCAGTTGTGGTACACAAATCTCCTGAATTAGAAGGCGACGATAAGTCACCTTAAGTTTCAAATACATTACTCTCAAATATGAAATTTCCTACTACAACGTAACCTTCAATGGATATACAATAGCATGACTTTCATATTTCTTTCAGAAATGGAACATTGGATCTTTTGATAGCTGACACACCAGTACTGGATTATTACCGCGCCACGGACCACGGCTGCAAGCTACAGAGGGTTGGAGACCATGCCCTTGCTGAAGACACGTATGCAATTGGAATGGCCAAGGGATTCCCTTTAAAGGTATACCACTAAAGCCTATTGAACTGTGTATCTACACCAAAAACAAGCTAAGTCGAACATATAGATACGGTCACCCATCAAAAGTCTAAGAGTTACATTTGCCCGAATAACGCTTCCTCGAATTTCCACAACAAATCTAACCAACTTGAAATTTTCTTTGCGACATGCTTCCAAAATACCCACAAAGAATAATTGTTTCGTCATAAATCGATTTTCGGGATTATGAACATTCGAACAAACGTTATTTTAGCCAATGTGATTTCAGACTTCTGGTCGATTGCTATTAAATACGGTTGCAAACTAAATAATACGAATGGTTAGGTAAAAAGGAAAAATCTCCAAATATGCGATTTATATACGCACTTCGATGTCTTGATTTTCGTAGCTGTCGGTTTATTGACGGTAAGCATATCACTATAGTGGCCTAGATAGGACAGTGCGAGTTTGAGTAATGTCAACGTCTCCGCAGTAAAGTGGCGTATATTTACACGCGGAGGACTGCGATAGGCCTGAGTGGCGGGGGCTCGGAATCTTTGTAAGCAAAAGATTGATGGATGACGCACGCGAGCCTGCTAATGGTGTGATCGATAGTAGGGTGTCATGTAGCTCAGCCTCAGCCGATTAATACGTCATTTTATCTTGACGTGGTTCGATACCTTCGAGGTTTCCGCTGACTGTGGCATAAATCAACGGACCACACTTTTTGTTTTGAATCGTGACAAAGCGTTTGCAGAAATTACCTTTTTTCAACGCTTTGTTGGGCTGATACAGACAAATCGGTTGCAGATGTGACGTTATTGTTATTTCAGGGAAATCGTTCAGAGGAGTGACATATACGCCCGTTTATCCACAGTCCCCGAAAAAACCTTTGTTTACTCACAAATACATTTTTGTTTCCTTTGTTTTACTAAATTAACATTTAGATTTAATTTTTACAGGACAGCATATCATCGGTTATATCAAAATATTCGTCGAATGGATATATGGATATTCTGACAGAGAAGTGGTATGGAGGACTACCTTGTTTCAAACTGAGCCCGGATTACGGGATTCAGCCAAAACCTCTCGGTGAGTAATCTTATTGACTTTCCATTTTCTTGCCTAACTTTTGGCAGATAGGAAACGAAAACAAAGTTAAAACAAAGCCTGAAGTTAAATAATTTTCTTACAACCTTAATCTTGAAAATTTTGGCAGGTACTACGCAAATGTTGTTAGTTTTCGCTCCACGATAAAGGCGTGTCTTATTTTCAATAAACACTTCCAAACAGAAATGTATGTTACTATTTTAATGTATCCGATAGGTGTACATAGTGAGCTTGCTCGTTTCCGTCGGAAATTTCATTACAATTTATCGCCTCCCTCGCGTTAATCCGCCCTCAGCGAGAGCGAAGGGAGGTATTACCACCAAGCGACCTAAAAGATTAAACATGGGATTTATCGTGGAAAAAATGAGCTGCTACGAGGTATGTGTTTATCTATTATTTAGGATCATCTCCAAGATATGTCTACGTTAAACAATTCAAACGGTACATATCATCGCTGAAACTTTTAATCGTAATCATTTTGAATCCTACCGCAGTAAATAATAAAGAAGAATGAAAACGAGTTTAGGTTCCGTAAAAGTCGTGGTAGCCTAATAGTTTGTCCTACTGCCTCTCAAGTAGAGGCCGTGGATTCGAATTCGGGCTTCTACTTCCGAGTTTCTCGGAATTTTTGTGCGAAGTTTTATTTGAAATTAACCATGAGCTTTTCGGTGAAGGAAAATATAATAACTAACTGCATCCATGGCCGAACGGTTACCATGTCGGACTGCCACGCAGAGGTCCTAGGTTCGATTGCCAAACCGGGAGAAATATTTGTATGGACTACATTTATTTCTCTCGTGAGTTTGGGTGTTATTTGTTTTTGTCTAAGTATGTGTCCATGGCACCCGCGACACAGGCTTTCCCTAGTGCGGGGCTATGTTGAGTATGTGCGTTATTATTACAAAAAAAAATAATGAGGAAACTTGCACGTCGAAGTTTAAAGTGTAATGTAAAGTCCCCAACCCGCATTAGGCTAGCGCGGCGGACTATGGCGCTCGCCTGAGACTTCTCTCCAGTCAGGTCTTCACCTGAGTCCAGAAGTGGGAGGTATAAATGGGTTGAATGATGATAGTTTATATCCAAATTTCATTTGATGCTACAGCTCTAAATTTAAATTAATTAATTATGAGATCATCTAATCCATAAAAGGTTATACAGTGAACCAAAATACGTAAAAAACGCCAAATTCACAGCAGAATGTATAAATTTGTGGTGATGGTGGATTTGTCATTGCTGTTAAACGACTTCAAATTACGGTTTCGATTATTTATTAACAGATTTTATGGTTTAAAGAGATCTCACGATTTAGCTGCGTTAAAGTATTTATTTTTATGATTTTGAAGTCAGAGTAACAAATAAGTAAGTTGGAGTGACATGTGATGCAAACAACTTTTATCTACACACATGTCATGAACTATCTATAATGTGTTCAAAAACCGCAAATTACGACCAGCTTACAGATAAATACAATCTGTGAAAATGTTCATAATAATAACATCGAATTCGATTTTATTATGACATTCAAATTTCGAACATCTCTGAAAAACAAAACAATTTCTTTCGACCACAATTCTAATATCAGTCGAGATGAAGTTTTATTCGAAATGAAATGTCAATAGCAAACAATTTTGACAAATTTCACACGTTACTTGATATCAAACGATAGATAGTTCGAGCCGACTCTGGTTTATCTATGAATTAAATAAAAAGTACGGTTGTGTCACATGCGTGAGAAAAGTTTTTATTTGCCGCCATTTCGCCAGTCGTAATATGCGGTTCCTGAACACATCTTAGAGAGCTTATAATATGTGTATAGATATAACAGTGTATGTAACTGTACATAATTAGGCATTAAAACACTCGTGTGATGTTTTTATACCCCCACACTCGTGTTTTAATAACTTTCATTATGTAACAGTCACATAAACTACTATAATTAGTTTAAAGGAAAACTTAACTTTATTTATCATCACAATTATTATTTGTTAGTCATTCAAGTAAAATCTGGTCTAAAACACGTCTTCAAAATGGGCCCGAACAACAAATTAGCCCCACTGTTCTTATTTTTGTGAAGGACATTTCGTAGATGGCCTCGACTGCGCCATCGGATTGTTATCCGGGCGAGATAAAGGCTCATAGCCGTACTCTTACGTTTTAATCGGAATTTAAACCGCTGGAAGATAACACAATACCAGGGTTGCCCTTTTATACATCGAAATTATATCTAAACCAACAGAAAACTATAGAATCATGACAGAAATGTAATTCAGATATGGTGTTCTTATCGTATCGATGGCATACACAATAATGCTTGCCATCGTGGTGAAAAGGTTTGTCAATTGCCGTAAAGTATTCGACGGTAGAAAGTCCGGAATTTAAAAGTCAAATAGAGTAGTATGGTATATCACTGAATAGGTTTTTATAAGGTGTCAGACAGCCACACCAATGAGCTGGTCTTAATTCAATCAATTATACCCTTAACTGGCTGAATTAGGACTCTGGTTCTCACTAGAGAATCGAGAATCACTCAGAGGTACTAACTCCTAGAGCATCCAGACCAGAGCCAATGTAGAAAAGTTAATTTCCCAAATTGGTCCTAAAGGTAATCGAATCCGGGACCTCCTCATCTAACGCACATGAAGCCAACCATTGGGCTTCCGATGTTGTAAAAAAATAGGTATAGCGTCTGGCACGGTATGCAAGAAGACGTCGGTTCGAATCCGAACGGATCGAAGGAATTTATTCTGAGTGTTTTTTCTGAGTATTCGATCTTTGTATTAATAATTATAACAAACTAGTGGAGTAATTTCACAAAAAATAATTGAATATCAATTCAATAAAAATTTAATTAATACGATAATTAATTGTTCGTAATTGGAAAAAACTTCTAAGTTTTATATAACTTTTTTTATTAGACTGACACGTAGAGGTCCCGGGTTCAGCCTACATTTATTTATTGGGTGTCATTTGTGGCTGTCCATGTGTGTGTCCGTGGCACCCGCGATACAGGGTTTCCCTAGTGCGGGGCTATGAGTGTGTGCGATGACGCTAGTTGTATCCAAGCATTTTTTTATAACATCAAGTGACGGAACGAACATGTCGTGCGCCTGATGGTAAACTACACGCCTGTCCATAACAGTTACAGTGCCACGCAGAGCTTTAAATTGCAAAGACCTGAGGGGCACTACCACTGTGCCCGTTCACCCGGAGACATAAGTTGACAAGTCTCATGTGCCTGTAATTTCACCAGCACCCTTACCCTTCAAAACCAGAACACAGTAATGATAACGTTACAGCTTGGAGGCACAAATAGGTAAGGTGGCAGTACTACCCTGGACGAACTCTTTCACAAGGAGCTGCTAAAACTTCAACTACTATTGTACTAAAACTACTGCATGCACTGAAAATCTACTTAGAAAATGTGAAATCCCCAATCCACATAGGGCCAACTTTAAACTTTCACGATCGTGGCCATAACAACTATCCAAATGGGTTGAATAATAATGGTATGCATACGAAACGAACTCATAAGCATGTAATAATGTATATAACATTCATTTTTATTCAAATATGTAGATAGATAATTATGTATATTCTATACGTACGTACGATTAATAAAAAGATCGAACAAACACAAAGAAAATATCCTTTGATTTTGGGGCCTTACTCTCGAAATCGAATGAAAAAACGTCAAAGAAATTCAAGTCTGTAGGTCATTCATAGAGGCAAAACTGACATAACTACTGATTAGGAGTAGAACTCCTGGTTTGAGTTTGGAATACAAATTAAGATTTGAGTGTAGTCGATACTGTTAACCTGTGAAACTTGGAGTAGATAACCTACCTTAAACAAGTCCGTAATAACAAACTAGTGGGGTATTTTCGCAAAAAGAAGATAACTTCGCTGCCTCAGCGACCCGAACAGCATCTTGGCTTCCGACACCAAAGCACTGTCGGTCTTGTACCAATTCCGACCATTCAGACACATTTAGTTCTTTTAGGTCTTTGGCGGCTTCATCCTTCCAGCTATATCTTGGACGGCCCCTGGACGATGGTCCAGGGGCCCTCCATTTCCCAAATTCTCTTTGCGTTTGTCCCAGAATCTTTCGAAATATCTTCCGTTCCGCCACTAATAATTTATGTTCTTCCTAGAGCTTTAGTGTCCATGTTTCATGATACATGAAACACAGTAAAAACATCATTATAATTTTATTAATACAAAGATCAAACGCAAACAAAAATTCCTTCGATCTAACAGGACTCGAATGTGTATGATAACTAGGAACACTTATGGTAAAACATCATGATTTGCAATAAAACCAATAACATAATTTTATTATTTGATAAAAATAAAAATATGTAGGTGGTAGTAATTCATAACGTTGACTCTACATTTTTTATTGCTTCAATCAACTGACATGGACACAAGAGATATTAATGGTTAAAGTCAGTAGTAGGGGAATGCTCCGTTCCATTTGAACAAAGCCTTGATTAATATGTAGCTTGTGCGGCGCCGTTACGGTTGTGACGTCACTCCTGATATTCGAACGCCTGTAACTATTATATTTTTCATGAAATGTCAACTTTATTTTTGCCTCCATTTTTTATAAACATTATTACTTACAAGAAATATTTTCAAATTATTAATAATAAATATTGCAATTTAAATATGTATAATGTTTTTAATGCTAACGAATTATGCATTTAATTTATTTATATTGAGGTAACTTTTCGGGTATTTCTTATATATCGTGAAGATTTCCGATATTAGCATCTTTCAAACTTGAAATTTTAAAACAGTTTCCGTAAGCTGGTGTCACCTGTAAGTGGTCTCTACGTCTAAATAGCCTGCGTTTTATTTTATAAGCGCTCGTAAATTCAGCAGGCATTACGTAGAGTGACAACGATTTCCATAAATGTTGCCACAGATGGGGCAAGTCAATGGTACCAATTTAAAAGCAATGTCATTCGAAAATACGATGA